TTCGGCATAATTTGATCCGGTAAGTCGGTTGTGTCCGACAGGTGTTTTTCGTCAAGTACTGGGTTTGTTGGATCTTTCTGGATAGGAGAGAAGCGCCGAGTTTCGATGTTATTTTCCTCAGAGGAAGGTAGCACTGAATCATTCTCATTAACATCTTCTGTCGTCCTCGGCATTCATTTTGCATTTTAATATCTACCACCTAATACAACTTTTCAATCAGATCAGCACATTTAGGGAAGAGGGTCTCAATAATTTGTTCCTCACAATTATTTGTTATATTTGCATGACGATGTTTTTAAAGTCGTTCCGGAAAGGAATGCTATAGAAAATTGTCGCTCACACGTTTGTTATAAAGATTAGACAAGCAATGGTATAGAGAATTAATTTATGCCTTCCTAATGTGTCATTAGACGTTGTGCTTCGCAGTTTTCAGCACATGATATGTTTTATCAATGTGTCTCACTTCGTGCGGGGTAAGACATCGGAATTGAATTCGAGCCACGAGCCTGCAACAGTTTATCTTAATTTGTTGAGAGCGTCAACAAGCTCCTTAGTATTTGGACTATTCTTGGATTGTCAGCTGTCTGCATGTCACTTTATTAAATAGGTCGTGTAAGCATTCTCATCAGAGTAAGTTAAATCATCGATTAGCGGACAAATCGATCTGAGCTCGAAGTGTTTCTGCTTATCGTGGGCAAACACCGTTATCAGATGGTTTTCTAGCAATTTGCTCGAAACTTTGTCGGCTAAAGACCTTGCTGAATTTTGAAGCTTTCGCAAAGTTATCCTCTGTTCATGATGATATACTTGTCGTAAGGGTTCTCACATTTTTGTAGTGCAGTTTTATGCACGATACTGAAGTTGATCCATCTCCAGATATGCGAATGTTGTGTCATGGGCAGGGATGTCAGCGCCACAGCAGACAGTGCATATGTGGAAAGATGCGCTTATTTGTAATAAGTGAAGTAGTCGGGCGCGCAAATTGCTGCTTGTGGATCAACGTAGGATTTAGGAAATATACATGTGTCTTTATATCTTGGCGATATAGCGGGTAGCACCATGCATGCTCACACTTTTTAGACACAGTCTTAAAGCCGGATCTGTCGTAGTATTACCTTCACTTTTAAGTGTGTTGGAGTATGCCCGTCCAGCAAGTAATGAAGTAAAAGGTGTGTGATTGTGGGTCATAGTAGTCAAAGCAGATGCGGAAATTGTCGCGCCCGAGTATCAAGTTACTTCAAGGACTGTCATCTCGTCCTACAGTTTGGAAGTCATAACAACTACCTTTGCCACAACAACAGTTATGTCATCAGGCTTAAGATTATGGCGAAGCGAGGCCAGCACAATGTTTTCGGCTGCGTTGTCAAGGTTTTCCGCAATTACATCCAAGAAGGATGCGACTTCACCTGACCAATATCGTCGCCAAGACAGCATTGGCTATAGTAATAGCAATCGATGTCGTCAATAGATGCAGCCTCAAGAATCAGCTATCAAACGAACGAGAAACTTACCGGAAATTGCGCCGGGGCTTTCTGAAGATCCGGGGCAAAGTTATCCCAGACACCGTCAGTGGCGAGTACGATAAGATCTCCATCTTGCACATCTATCTCACCCGAGTCTGCCTACAACAATAAAAGTCAGTCAAGAGCACTTTTGAAATTAAATTTACATTTCAAGCCTATACATCATCAGGGTGGTTTTCGATAGCACCATATTGCTTAAATCGTAGTGGTATCTTCGCCAGCTGATACGGTGCTCGGCCATAGTACTGTTGACCGCAATCACCTTCATCTTAATACTAAATGTAATAAGATGAATTTCTTTTCAAACCTGATATTTGCTGCGAAAGATAATTTCGCCATTGCGAATGAGCACAAATCCTGAGTCTCCGAGGTTCGAATACTCAAGCATGGGCTTTCCGTCGATCGACTGCTTTAATCGCACAATGCATGCTGTTGTGCTACCTGCTTCAACCTCATCATCTAGTAGTGCCTGTGAATATCCGTAAGACAATACCTGCTGTGTAGTAGCCTTCTCTCCACTACTCGATTGCTGGCGCACAAACAATGCCGCGTTATGCATAAGGGAGCGCGAGATCTTGCCTGGATCGATTCCATTTTCATTCCATCCTCCAACGCCGTCAGCCACACCCACTACATCCGCCGTAAGGAAGTACGAGTCTTCTCCACAGTTTGACGGATTGGCAACAATCCCGCTGTTGTCCTTGCCCAGTGCGCAACGCTTACCCTTGCATGCAGCTTTAGCGTCTAAGTAAAAAGAAGCAGCGGTAGTGAAACGACGTTGACTGTCGACAATTGGCTTGTCAGCTGATGAGCTAAAATGTAAAGAGCGACGGTGTAGCGACCGCTGGACGGAAGTGGCGGTCGAGCGACGGCAAAAGCGGTGCAACATGATACTGACTGAGCATTATGTTTTTCGACCAATGATATGCATTGATGTTTGTTACAAAATATAACTGGTCAGATTAGTTATCTAAGTTAATCATTTCGCCAAAGTAGAATGTCGTGGGCAAAGCATAAGAAGATTTTGGCGATGGCCAAGGGCTATCGTGGTCGTGCTAATTCATGCTATCGTACAGCCATTAACCGTGTGGAAAAAGGTTTGCAATATCAATACCGCGATCGCAAGCAGAAGAAGCGCGTAAGCCACACCAATTATGCATTTGCTCGTTTCTATTTCTCATTCAAGATGTGTTACTCAATAGGACATGCGCTCGTTGTGGATACAAAAAATCAACGCTGGTGCACGCCAAGAAGGTTTGTCGTACTCGAAGCTTTATGGAAAGATGAACGGATCGGGTATTGAGCTAAATCGCAAAGTATTGGCTGACATAGCTGCCACCGAGCCATTTAGTTTCAAGTCGGTAATTGATGTTGTGAAGCACATGGAGATCGCGACTAAGGCTTTGTAAATGATTGAGTCGCTCAATATTAAACTGAGCGGAAATTGTCTGCATTTGGCCAACATGCAGTTCTGACTGTTATTGAAATGAACAAATAGAGGAAAAGGAGCAGGTGCAGACAATGTAAGACGACAGTCGATTATTTTTTTGTCTTAACATGTGAAGTCAGTGTCGCTCTACAGCACGTAATTATCGTTGCTGACGAAATTTATACGCCATGTGATCTACTACATATAAACATCCATGAGCTATGCTTAATGGCAGCTGGATGTAAGCAGTGTAGAAGTTCACTTCATGATATCGGCGACTTTCTTGTCAATTGAACGGCCCTTTTTCAGGTCTTCTTCGAGCTCAATGAGCTTCCAGATGCCATCAATCATGGTTTGCACCAGTTCAACTTCCGAATACCCAATACGGGCTTTGTTTGAGACATCATAGACGCCTCCGGGACCAGGAGGCGAGTGCTCACCTTTGGATCCACGAGCTTGCAGCCCCAAAGCAGTGCACAAGCTGTAGAAACGCTCCGAATCTTTTGATAGTTGTGGGAACTTGATCATGACACTTGCACGCAGTCCCGTGCCCAGGTTGGATGGGCACGTGCACACAAACCCAAGGTGGTTGTCGTACATGTACTCACGCCCTTCGCCCTTGACAACCTTCTCGACATCTGCAACACCACGACTAAAACGATCAAAGACCTCTTGGATGTTGCCACCATTCTGCATAGCGATGACTCGCATGTGGTCTTCTTCATTCACCCAAACTAAAAACGTCTTGTTGTTGTTGTGAAAGATACCTCGACCATCAGGCCAGTCACGAGCAGCACCAGCATTAGTTAGCAAGGTACCACCGCCTGGCTTTTGAAATAGAAAATGGTCATCAATGAGCTGTTGCTCTTCCTCCTTGGTCATTTTACTCAGCGGATAATACTTGCCAGCCAGATCGTTTCTTAAGTTGCTTAAAGCCTTTGACAATACGCGCTCGACCTCACGTCGTTCACCGCGCGATGTTCCAGGCGGCAAGGCCAAACCACGGACGCTACGACCTGCACGAATACGCGTTGAGATTACGTAACTGTCAGGAATTTTGCCATTTCGAATTTTAGACGGATCAATGTCCGTTTTGTGTGTATCCGTAGGCTTGTAGCCGTGCCAGCCTTCAATCACAAGGTCCATCAGCTCCTTAAAAGTTTGATACGACTCTTCATCGCCAGCTACAACACCCACACCGAGGTGCGGAGTGTCAATGCCAGTTTGGATGGCTTGGTCAATGGTGTAGCCACTAGCCGTTTTGCGATCTTTAAGCTTGTCGTAGATCTCGGGTGACAAATGCTTTGCCATAAGGCTCTTGTGCTTAGGAGTAAGCACGGGGTAGTTGTTGTACTTTGACTTGGAAGTAGCCGTAATACTACTGTTGATGCCCAGATCGCGTTCAATGTTTTTAAGACGACTCGAGATATCCAATAGAACCTCTGATGTCGAATTTGAGCTTTCGGCAGGCTTGGTTTGAGTCATTGTCGAGGCAGCAAGACCTAGTGTCACAGCACTGGCGCCAGCGAAGTAGCGGGCGTTCGTTTTGATCATGCGACCTGCAAACATATGAGCAAGACACAAAGTGTCAGCAAAATCTCCTTGCCATCATTAAACCTTACTATGTACCTAGCATTGTGCTTTAGTGTGGTGTATTCTAGAGTTACTCGGGCGATGGCGGGCTAGATCTAAAATGCTCGACAAAAGGGGGAGGCAGATCTTTATGCGACGTATAAACAAGTAAAGCAAAACACAATTGGTACACAACTTCAAGATGGAGAGGTTTCTGGCTCGATTCGACACGATGTCATGCATAGAACCTACTGAATTATATGATGGGCATTTGGTGTACAATCGTTCATTACAAATATGTCCTCGATCACAAATGCACAAATCACAATAAATATACGAGTGCGCATCGTAACGATATCACGATTCTTTCGTTGCTACATTCTTGTAGTTAAACGCATAAATCTTTTCAACTTTTCTACGTGATTGTATTTATGCACCACCCTTGCCACGGAAAGCACGCACCCCACGACCTGGACCTCCGCCCATCATACCACGCATGCCTTGACCACCCATAGCGGCACTCATAGGTGCTCCACCAGAAGGACCAGCTTGTGGCTGCTCTGACTTGGGGTTGCGCACAGTCTCATCTACTGACAGAATAAGACATGCGGCTTCCGTTGCTGCGGCGATCGAGTTGATCTTGTTTGCTGCTGGTTCCCATACATGCGACTCGTATGTATCACAAATCCCGCCGGTGGTAATATCAACGCCAAACCACTTGCCATCTTCGGGATCCTTAAAATGTTTTTGACGCAAATGATTCAAAATATCCGTCGCATCATGACCTGCATTCTCAGCAATCTGGCGAGGAATGATCTCGAATGCTTTGGCATATGCATTCACGAGTAATTGGGCCTTGCCTTCAATAGTACGCGCATACTGGCGCAAGTGTCGAGAAATTTCCATTTCAATGGCACCCCCTCCTGCAACTACCGTTGACGACGCTACGGCGCGCTTCACAACCATAAGTGCATCGTGCACCGATCGGTGGGCTTCCTCAATGAATTGCTCGGCCCCACCACGTAATACAATCGTTGAGCTTTTGGCTTCAGCGCACTCCATGAAGATGTTGTACCTCTCATTACCGATCTGACGCTCTTCAAACCGACCACACGATCCAAGAACGGACGGATTCATATCATGCACTGACGTTTGCACCACGCCACCAGTAGCACGTTGAGTACGTTCCATATCATCCTGAGCAACACGGCCGGCGCAAAAGAGACCACGATCGGCAAAATACTGCGTAGCCAAATCACCCACCGGAAGCTTGGAAAGGATAATTTGGGCACCACTCTTTACGCATAGCTCTAGCTTTTCGTAGATAATATTCCATTCGGCATCTACAATCGACTGGTACTTAGCTGGGTCATCCAAACGCACCTCAGCATTCTCTTTCTCCGACTTCAGTTCAAGCTCAACGTTCAAAAGCAAAATCTTTGGATCCACAAAAGTCTTGGGCTGTTGCTCAAAACCGGCGTATGAGAATGTTTTTTTAAACGCGACACCCTTGACAAGAAACGAGTCGGTAACTGATCCACCCGGCACCTTTTTAATGCCAACCATACTGATGTCAAGGCCTTCTCCTAAACTTAAAACCGCATCAACAATCTGCGATGAAATTAAATCACAAGAGTATTAGGTACAGATGTAGTCTTTGTGAGCACCTTTCGTTTTGCTTACCATAGGAGAAAAAAAGTGCTTATGACGCGAAATCAGCTTTGAGTTCAATGCCGTGCCACTAACACGCTCTAGCATCTGGCGACGTCCAATCTCATCCGAATCAGCCACACGAATTTCAATCTCCTTGATCTTTTGTACAGCGAGTTGGCCAGCCTTGCGATAGCTTTTGATTATCATTTGCGGATGCATATTCTCTTCAATAAAAGATTTAGCTTGACGCATAAACTCAGCACCAAGAAGAACGACAGATGTGGTGCCGTCGCCCACTTCAGCATCTTGTGATAGCGAGATATCCACGAGCGTCTTGGCCGCTGGGTGCACGACGTCTAGTAAGTTCATAATGGTGGCACCGTCATTCGAAATCGTGGTCTTTCTTCCCGTATGGATAAGCTTGTCCATGCCACGTGGACCAAGCGTCGTGCGCACAGCTTCCATCACGGCCTGACATGCATTAATGTTGCTGATGAGCTGGGCCTTGCCCTGACTTGTGTCCGTGCCTTCCTTTAGTAGAATAATCTGCGGCTGCTACTTGAAAAACCAGAGGGGGTGAGAAACATAAGCAAGGAGAAAATGCAAGAAGGCAGCGTACCATCATACTGTTCATAGTAATCGACTGAACTACGGCGCACTCAGACCAAGGAAGATATTTGGTCGCTTGACAGGAATCTTTGTACACACGCCGCCACAAAGATTAAGTATACTTAGAATCAGTTGATTTTTACTGGGTAGTATAACTTTACTTTTTTATCACTAAATCCTGAGAATTTTTAGCTTCATGAAATGTATAAAGTCTATATTTTGAGCGAGGTCAAATATAGAGTTTATCCATTTCTCAAACATCCCAAAGAATGATCTAAAGGCTAGGGTTGCAACAAGGTAGAGCATTCTGTTACAGGAGGTCCTCAAAGTGCTACAGATCGCCTTGAGGCCGCCTGCCGACAATCACCTGCGCTTTATTCCTTTCAAAGTATCATGACGTGGCGACAAGAGAATCACCTAGCATAGTGCCCACAGATCCAGGAGTGCATCATGAAATTGATCTGGTGTTTGGTCCTTTTAATACGTCACACATCATCTCTAATCAAAAGACAGTGTGAGGCCGTGTGAAGCACGTCGCGATTTTAAAGTGCGAGTAAGTCTCTCCCCTCATGTCAGAAATTCAAGCGGCAAGTGGCGAATTGTGCATGCTTGTAAAAGGCAGATGCAACAATCATTCCCGATTTAACTTCGAAGAAAAATGTGCTAAATAACACGATCGATTGCTCCTAGTTCAGCGCTCTTGACCCGGCTGATGGTATATGTTTCATTACTGTGGTGAAAACTATGGGCTGGATACACTGGGTACAGTCATGCCATCTGTATTGTCTGATGAGTCATTGACATTATCTAGTCTTGTGAAATGGCTGTTGAAGCCACCTTGCGCCAAATCGCAAATCTATTTCCACATATGATTTATGATTCGTTTATAGTCGTGCAGACCACGATGGATCGGATGTGGTCTTGCACGCTGAAAACTAGCGAGCAGTGTTCGAGTTATTGCGCTTAAGTTAGCTGTTCGCTGATGTAAACAAGTGTGGCTTCTGCACTGCTGAATTAGCACCACCGCGTAGCGCACTCATCGTGCAGAGTTGTAATGGGGTGGTAGGCCCATTACACAGTTTGTGTGGTATACACTTAGCTACTGGATAGCTTAGTGTGCGCTAGTAGTGGTTACAATTAGGTACATTTATTTCAATTTTTGAGTTAAGACTAGGACTAGCATGAAAACACCTGATATATGTTCAGTCTTCAATTTGATCAAGAAATCCACACACGATTGTGGTTACTAGGGCGCGTACGGAAGCTACGCTAAACGACTAAACCCCAAGGGAACGTTACCTCAGCGCAAGGTGCGTGTGACCAGCTGTCCCGTTACACTTTGTGGTCAATCCACCGCCGACATCGAAGATGAACGATTCCAGCTTCCAGACTGACTTCCCAGCCCCCCCGTCACCGTTGGATCACTCCAACTATCTGTATCTGTCCGATGCGGGATGGGCCGTCGTCGGCAGAATTATTTTTGGTGAAGCCACCGTCCAAATGTTACGTCACGACCAAGATGCGATCAACGAGCACGTCTGCCCCTTCGTGATTTATGACGCCGACCTTGTTGAAGAAGTCCCGACAAAGGTCACAAATTCTTCTTCGTCGAAGCCGGCCACAATGGAACACATGGTGCATCGCATTTCCCGGTCACCTTCGACTCCACCGACCCCGGTTGTCCAAGTGAAGATGTCACTATCTCCACGAGGCCAAGTAGCGCCAAAACTGCTGAAGATTGCGGTTAAGGTTTTCTTCGGAAAGCAGGTAGACAACCTCAAGTTTTGGTTCCACCATGGGAGTGGTTATGGCCTTGGCGGCAGCGCTGGTTCGCGAGGAACGGCAGAAGGTCGCATTTGAGTTTTTGCATATGCAAGTTGCTGCCCCTGGATGAGTTTTCACGTGGGAGATTAACCATCCTGGTTACTTCTCCTCTTGGAGGTTACTCCAAGAATCGATGGCAAAGTGTTTCTTTACCTAATGCGACATCTAAACATTGCGCGATTTTTTAGGTGTCGCCTGGGCGAACGTTCGATCTACGCTTTATGCAAAGACTTCGCAAGTTGCAAGCGTCGCTGGCTGACAATCAGACATCATGGTAACCCTCTTTATGGAAGGACTCGAGATTGCTCCACAAAGACTGAAGTTTTTCGTCGACAACCGACCAAGATTGAAGATACAATTTTTGTCGGATTTAAAGAGGATCAGCTTCAGCGACAGTCAGATGTTACTCACTGATTCCACCGACGTGTAGCCGCCGTCAAGTGGTGGTCCTGAACTGTCTGGAATTGATCGCCTATAGGTCGCCTGTTATTGTTGTGGCCGGGTAGGCCACTTTGAACGGGAATGCCCGACGAAGATTTATTGGCCCTGACCCACTAGTGTATTACCAATTTACTCCACTCATAGTAGAGGAGAATGGAGAGGTGCCGC